AAGAGGCGGTAGTAGGGGACGGACTCGTCAAAAGTGACGTCCTGAGAGGGCAAGACCCAGCGCGAGGTGGCGTGGTAAAACTGCCAGCCAGGCGCGTCCGGGACAAAGCCGAGGAAGACGCAGGGAAGAGCATGGGAGGAGAGCTTGTCCGCAGACGTATCGCGGACAAAAGCTCGAGACCCCCAGACCCGGAAACGCGACGCATCGCCAACCTCCCCCGTCCACAGCAGTGTGGGCGAGGTCTCCGGCAAGGAGACACGGGGCCAGAGGTTGAGCTGATGCGCAGCGTACCGGACCGCAAACGGCCACAGAAAGTGGGGGGCAGCCGCATGGATCAAGGAGGTACGGGCGACCTCCATGACCAGGCCAATGCGGCGCTCCGCAACCCCATTCTGCTGTGGAGAGGCCGGAAGCGTGAACGACTGCTCAATGCCGTGCTCAGCACAGTAGGCTGCCAAGAGGTCGGAGGAGAACTCACCACCCCTGTCAGAGTGCAAGCGCAGGACAGGAAAGTCCGAGTGGAAACGCTTGCTGAGCTGGAGATGGGCTCTGCGGATCCAAGGGATCAAGACATCAGGGACCTCACCCTTGGTGCGCAAGGGGAAGACCGTGGTGTAGCGCGAGTAGTCGTCAACAACTATCAGGAAGTACCTCTCCTGACCCTGACCACGGACGCGGGCTGGGCCCCACACGTCCATGTGGAGCGTCTGCAAAGGAGAAGTCGTCGGGGGAAACGAGGAGGAGTGAGGAGCGGCGCGCTGCCGCCCCTCGACACAGGGAAGACAGGGAGGAGCAGGCGAGGGTGGGAGGGGAGGGAGGACCCTGGGAAGACCAGAGACAAGGTACCGGGAGTGCATGGCACGAAGGCGCTGCACAGACGGGTGGCCAAGTCGGTGGTGCCAGAGGACAGTCTCATGCGCTAGAGAGCGACACGAGCAGGGGGCAGACAGCTGACCTGACGCGGACACAGAAGCAGACGCAGCAACCTGAGGGGACGCATTTGTCAGTGTGTACAGGTCCGACCCCGGCTGCCGGGTGAAGGTAGCCAAGTGGCGGCCCGTACGAGCACACGTGCAGTGTGTGACACGCTCGTAGGCAGGGGTGAACTGGTAAACACCCCCGTCCTGGAGTGCACAACCTGCCACCAAGTTCGAAGAGAACGAGGGGAGGTGGAGACCGGACAGTGTGCCCGACGGGACCGCAGGACAGGGAAGGACAGTGGAGGAGGTCGCAATGAGCGGACCCCCAGAGGGGTCAGCGAGGGAGACAGCTACTGGCCGAGCAAGTGGCTCAAGGGCAGTGCGGTCACGAAAGAAACAGCGAGAAGCACCTGAGTCCAGCGTGAAGGTGTGCAGTGCTGCCGTCGACACAGTACTAGGGGGGCCAGACGTACAAGCACCTAGAGCAGCAGCCTCACCAGCACCTGGGCCAAGGGACACGCAAGTACCTGAAGCGGCAGACACACTAGTCCTAATGCCCGGGTCGGGCGGGACACTCAGGTACTCAGCACCCTCTCCACTAGTAGACGTCACATACATGGCAGTTAGAATAGCATCAAAGTCTAGAGAATAGATATCAATCCCCTTCTTCAGGAGATCAATCCAGCGGGGCAGCTCAGTGGCCTGAGGGAACTGAACACGCCAAGCGTCGTTCAGACGAGCGAAGCAACGCTGTGTGGCATGCGGTCCCCCACACGGCTGGCCAGTGTGGTCACCAGTGCGAATGACGTACGTGCAGCTAAGGCCACCCCCCCCCCCCCCCCCCCCCCCCCCCGTGCTGAGAGTACCACTCACGGACCTCCTGGGGCGACGGAGTGTGCTGCTGGCCCTGGCCACCGCCAGTGCCTCCACGGCCACCACCGCCGCTACCACCTCCTCGACCACCCCAACCCCGGCCACCTCCTCGTCCACTGCCACCCCCACTACCTCCTCCGCCCCGGCCACCTCCCCCGCCGCTGCCGCCACCCCCCCCACCGCTGCCACCTCCCCCGCCCGCGCCACCACCCCCGCCACCACCACCTCCCCCACCACTGCCACCCCCGCTGTCACCACCACCTCCCTTGCCCCCTTTGCCCTTGCCGATGCGGCGCCCGCTTGAAGCAGACGCAGTCCCGACCTTCTCAGCACCAAGGAGGTCGACAGCAGCAGCAGAGGCGATAGAGGAAAGAAGGGGGGAGGGAGAACACCCCTCAAAGAACGGGGTACGGGGGTCACCACGAGAGGCACCTACAGCGACTATGCTAGCCTCAGCTGCAAGGAGTTCCTTCTCGAGGAGGGCAATGGTGAGCTCAGTGGGGTAGCGAGCTAGGAAGTGGACCATGACTGAGCGCAGAGTGTCAGGGAGGCGCGTGACTAGGTGGTAGAGAGTGAGCCAGAGTGGGGGTGGGTTCGTGGCAAGGAACTCATCAGGCATAGCGGCGCGGAAGCGAGCCTCACTAGTGCGGAGGTGGGTAATGAGGTCAGCGACCATGTGGAAAGAAGCTAAGTCGGGGAACAGGTAGGGAAGAGAGAGACGGCCTAGTGCGGCAGAGGCCGGTGAGGAGTAGCGGGCAACGACAGCAGTGTACAGTGCCTGCGCAGTCTTGTGCTGCCCAAAGTGCTCGCGCTCATCTATCGGCAGAGAGTTGCGAATAGCGAAGCGAGCATGGGCGTCACGAGTCTGCCACTGTGAGCGGGCAGTGCTCTCAGCAGTAGCAGCAGGAGCAGTAGCGTGGCCTAGGGCGTGATCGTACAGTGAGATGTCTTCCTTGTCAATGAGCTGTAGGAAGAGGTGCAGGTCATCAAGCCAGGTTTCGAACTTCACTGGCGGCCCTCAGCATTGAAAGCTAGCACAGGAGGGCTAGCCATAGCAGTAGTAGGAGTAATAGCAGTAGTATGAACTCAGGTAGGGCGGCTCGGTCCAGTACGTGCGGCGCGGCTCGGTTCAGGTAGGGCGGCGCGGCTCAGTAAGGGCGGCGCGGCTAGGATCGGGCGGCGCGGCTCGGTTTGGGTCGGGCGGCTCGGTTCGGGCGGCTCGGTTCGGGCTGCTTGGGTCGGGCGGCTCGTTATGGGCGGGGCCGTAAGGGGCCTCTAGGGGCGAGCGCAGGGCCGATCGGGGCCTTTAGGGGCGAGCGCGGGGTTGTAAGGGGCCGCTAAGGGCGAGTGCGGGGCCGATCGGGGCCTGTAGGGACGAGCGCGGGGCCGTAAGGGGCCGCTAAGGGCGAGCGCGGGGCCGATCGGGGCCTATAGAGGCGAGCGCGGGGAGCGGGTGGGGCCGATCGGGGCCGTTAGGGACGAGCGCGGGGCCGACGTGGGCCTCTAAGGGCGAGCGTTGGGCCGATCGGGGCCGTTGGGGACGAGCGCGGGGCCAAACGGGGCCGTTAGGGACGAGCGCGGGGCCAAACGGGGCCGTTAGGGACGAGCGCGGGGTCGTAAGGGGGGGGCCGCTAAGGGCAAGTGCGGGGCCTCCCGGGGCCTAAGGGACGAGCGCGGGGCCGATTCCGGGCCTCTAAGGGCGAGCGCGGGGCCGTTCGGGGCCTCTAAGGGTAAGCGCGGGGCCGTTAGGGTCCTCTAAGGGCGAGCGCGGGGCCGATCGAGGCCTCTAGGGACGAGAGCGCGGGGCCGACGGGGCCTCTAGGAGCGTGAAAGCCGAGGCGCCCTAGGGCGTAGGTAGGTAGGTAGGTAGGTAGGTAGTGGTGGGCCCTAAAAGTCGGTCCTAGGAAGGACCTGCTCTGATACCATGTTGAACAAGAATGAACTAGCAGTGAAATGAGTACAAGTAGGAAACCCTAGAATTGTGTACCCCCTATAGGCTAACCCACTGTAGCCTAAACAACTACAACATATATATAATGTTTGACACAAGCAGCACGGACCAGGGCAGCAGACGCAATCAAAAAATCGAACATCATCGCTAAACGCAACGCCGACCGCCACCGCAGACCTGTCACTTACGAGCCCGACGACCTAGTCTTACTCGACACTCAGAATCTCTGACTGCCCATCGCACCCAAACTCCGCCCCCGATACTATGGGCCATTTCGTATCAGCCACATGATAACACCCGTCACCGCCCACCTCCTCCTCCCTGCTGACTGGTACGTCAGCCCCTCGTTCCACGTTAGCCTGCTTCGCCCCTACGTCCCATCCACAAGCCAACTCCCACGCAATCGCTCAGCCAGCATGGCACGACCGCCAACCGAACCAATCATCGTCCCCGACAAAATCCTGAGCCACAGAGTTCGTGACCCCCGAGGAGCCCGAAAGATCGAGTTCCTGATCCGCTGGAAAGACCGTACACCCACCGAAGACAATTGGGTTCCCCTGGACATAATCGAAAACCACCCTGTTCTCACCGAATATCTGCGCAGCCGAAACTTCAGAAATGTCCTCGTAGGGAGGACCTCCTTAGGAGGGGGGGGGTAGTGTAAGGAAAATCGCTTTTCCTTACTTCGCATCCCCGCTCAACACGTACATCACTGTAACACCACAGTCAGCACCGTTACCACTCGCGATCCTCGCCTCGACAATCAGCCCGCCATTTTCGCACATCGCATCCCAACCTCACGGCTCGGCTGGTAACCCGCGCTCCGGGCCTCCACTTCGACACTTTCCCAAACCTCAGTCCCAGGCCCGTCGCGCGACAACCACAATCCATTACCGTTACCACTGTAGTTTCGCTATATATTCTTCGCTCATGCCTTCGCTCATTGTACTCTTGCTTCGATAGTGCAATTCTCGTTCATTCACTCAATTGCACTCGTAACACGTGGGAAACATTGCACTGGAAGTGTAAATTTCGTACGAGGGGTAGAATATGTTCGACTGAAAAGAAGAGAGCAAATGGTGGTGTACTACATCTGGACAAGCAAGACTCGACAGAACTTAGAACCAACACAGAAATTGTAAACTAAGAATGGACTAAAGACTCTCCACCGACCACCATCAGAACAAGCAAGACTCGACATAGCAAACAATCTACAAGCAACCAACCATCTTGCAATGAAGCACACAACACACATGTTACGGTATTGACAACACACAAGAACCTGATTGGCTAGCACTCTCCGCATGTTTCAGCGCCGCTTCAAAATCCCCAGTCACCACTTCCAATTCCACATCCTCATCGATCCGCACAGCCATCCGGTTGGGAGCGGTAACCAGGTAACGGTCCTTGAGAGCCTGCAACTCTGCAAGCACCTGCTGCATGGAGGGGCGCGCAGCGGTGCGCATGTTGGTGCAGGCGAGGGCGAGGTGGGCCAGGGCAAGGAGCAGGGCAGGCGGGGCGTCCAAGCTGGGATCTGCGAATCTTGTTGCCACTGTGTTGTCATTGCCTCCCTGCTCCACCCGTGCTGCCACCCACTGCTTTAAGTTGAACGGAGCCTCCTCCTTTCCTTCCTCCTTTTCCTCCTCGCCACCCGTTGCTTTCCTCCCCGTGACCAGCGCCAGCATCACCACCCCGAAACTGAGCATAGGAGGGACCAAGGCATGAGGAGACACAATGAAGGCAGGTTCACATTATTGAGACCACCGTAATGACCCTGACCCTGGTAAGAACCGATAGTTGACATTTAACGAGGGACATGGGAAGGGGGTAAAGGAAGAAGGTACAGCGCCTGCAGCTGAATGAGAACACTCAGGGCTTATTCCCCCTCCGTAAAGTTCACTTCCCCGAAGGTTTAGGAACTGAAGCACCTAACCCGTCTAGAACAAGTACAGACGTCCTAACACGCTGCTGACACAAAGTCCTGACAGCCAAATTGCATTAAGATTCACCCACCGCGAATGAGACGGTCGCGCCAAATGCAAGGGCCCACCGCTTCAGCACCGTTTCTAGATGCACATTGCAGGATCGACATGCAAGGCTTACCTGTACACATCGACAGCCGGAGTGGCCTTCTGCGACCTCACATAGGCCGGATCCATGTATCCCGGTGACCCCATCACCCGCGTGGCCATCACCGTGGTACCCTCGCCGCACCGCACGAGGCCGAAATCAGCGACCTTGGCTTGCATGTTGGCGTCTAGAAGAATGTTGGCGGGCTTGATGTCCCGATGCACCATGCTGAATGAGTGTAGGTATTGGAGACCTCCGCCCACTCCTAGTAGGATGTTCATGCGCTCGCGCATGCTCAGTGGCCGCGGGGCGGCTGGAGGGAGGAACAAGCACAGAAGTGAAAAGAGATTGGGGAATGGAGAAGAGAGCGAGTGTGCCAAGGAAAGAAAAAGAGTTGTAGTAAAACACGTGGGGAGGAATCTCAAGGGGTGAAAATTAAGATGATTATTTGTCTATTGGCTCATGCCACATGCTTGACTGCCAACTCCACCACCGCATGCCTCCATGCCCCATGCCCCATGCCAGCCGCACCTTTGCCGATCCAGTGGTCGAGGTCCTTGCCAGCCATGAACTCATACACCAGGATCTGCTCCATGCGCCGCCTGGACGACCCGTAGCACACGCCGTACCCCAGCAGCCGCACCAGGTGCGCGTGGTGCTTCGATGCCATCGCCTCCACCTCCGTCTGAAAGTCATTCGACAGAAACTTGGCGCGCTTCACCGCCCACACCTCCCCGGTTTGAGGATCCACTCCCCTGTACACATCGCCAAACGCCCCGCTGCCCACCAGGTTTTGCTCTGCCCAGCCGGCTGTTGCTCGCTCCAGCTGCTTCAGAGAGAATTCCTGGCACACCCCGGTCCTCTTGCTTCCCTTGCTCGTTCTCGGGCCCATGCTGAGCAATCCTCTTCCTGGTTTCACCCCGCCCATTGAGCCGCCTGGCACACTGCTGCTGGTGGAGTCGCTCGGCACGACGGGCTCTTTTTGGTTCTGCCGGCGGCGCCAGCAGAAGCAGAAGAGGAGCAGAGCCAGCAGCAGCAGAGATGCGATGGTTCCGACTGTGGCCCCTGCGATTACTGCTGGTCTGACCCCGGTGGAGGGTGAAGCAGGCGGCACAGGCGCTGGTGGCGGTGGTGGTGGTGGTGGTGGTGGCCCTGGCCCATATGAATATCCCGGTGGTGGTGGTGTTGACGACGGGTTGTGAGGCACAAAAAGGGGGGTGGGAAGCGGGATGGGCAAAGAAGCAGGGGAGTGAGATAAGGCCGAACAAGGAGGCAAGGGATGGGAGGGATGTGCCATGTGCAATGACGTGTGCAGTGAGGTAACGAGGACCTTTCTAAGTGAAGCGCCCATTGCACCCCTCTGCCTCGCCATTGCACCCCTCTGCCTCGCCATTGCACCCCTGCCTTACCAGTGCATGGCCCCGAGTAGCAGATATCACCGCAAAACACATCTGAGCTGCCACACTCCCAGAAAGTGTGACTGGAACGAGGAGAGCAGGAGAGAGAGAGAGAGAGAGAGAGAGAGAGAGAGAGAGAGAGAGAGAGAGAGAGAGAGAGAGAGAGAGAGAGAGAGAGAGAAAGTCATGAAGAAGGGTGGGACTGGTGCGCTGATGAAGGTGGTTGTGCAAGGGAAGGGAAGGGACCTTGTTTGGCATGTGACACGCACCAGCAATATGTTTGGTAAGGGAAGGAGGAGGTAAGAAAGAGAAGAGCTTTACCACTATCACCATCACCATCACCTGCAGCAGAGGTTGTTCGGGCAGGGGTCGGTTGGTGAACATGTGATATTCTGCGCCCGGCAGTGCAGCGGCAGGCGCGCAGCGAGCAGCAGGAGGAGGAGGAGGAGAACGAAGGGGGCGGGGAGGCGCGCGAGGGCGAGAGGAGGCAGAGTGCGGTGCATGATGAGACGCCAAGAGACGACGTGAGACGACGTGAGACGCCGAGAGACGCCGAGAGACGTCGATCTTGCCTTCGCCTGTGCGCTGCGAATGCCTTCGCGTGCCGCGCGGCCGTGGTCTTGGTTCTGCTGTGCGCCGCTGCTGCAAGACGCGGCGCGTGTGTGAACCACCCCCGAGCTGCCGCTGCCTGTCTCAAAGATCAGAACGGTGCCGACACTCGAATCCGACCTTTGAGACGCCTCAAAAGACGCGACGCGCGTGTGGGAACCACTCCCGCGCTGCTAGACCCTGTCTCAAACAACCGAACGGTGCCGACTCTCGATTCCGCACCTGCCGCCTTTCCGCCTGTCGCGCTTGTCTCGGGAACGGGACGCTGAAATTTCTAGGGATCTGGAAACGAGCGAGCTGCTATATTTTCTAGGAAGCTGGGAACGCGCGTGAAATCGGGGGTTGCGTGCGGGCCTTGATGTTTCAGGAGACGCGCGTGGGTTTGCGGGTTGATTTCGAAAAGGAGTGCGGTGCAATGTGGTGCGTTGCAGTTACGGAGCGGCACAGCACGTCGCGGCGGCGTGCGTGGTAGTAGTAGTGTGCGCGCTCCAATGGCCGAGGCGTTTGCAACTACTTGCCCTTGTATCAGTTATTGTAATTTTCTTGAATTTCTCGAACCACCCCGAAGACTCGAAGTGGTGTAAGCAGCACTCGAGACTCGAAGTAGGAGAGACAGTGGCACCGACGCAATGCACGCCGCGCACCGACGACTGATGGCTGATGCTTGTGGGAGACAGTTGGACCAAAGAAGAACGTATCGGACAAGGAGTCGGCGGAGCAGGAGGGTACCAATAATAGTGGCGGGTGAAAAAAAGAATGAGCGGATTGCTTGCTGGGCTGGAATTCACAGGAAAAGGAGGCTGGCCGGCTTTTGCTGCGACATAAGTTACACCCCGCGCCGCTGTTGCGATGCGACACCATGACGGACGGACAGCCTGCGACGGCTCTCGATGTCTTGCGACGACTGATGAATACAGTGTGCTGCACGGAATCGAGACGGCGCGCCTCGCGACTATTGAACTGGTCAGACATTCTCCGAGCTGAGGGAGCAGCGGCGGCAAGCGAGTGATAAGGGAAAGGATATGGGATGGGAAAGCGACTAGGGTAGGAGGGGCTTGGAAGGAGAGGGGAAGGGTCTGAGCGGGAGGGAGAGCAGAGAGGTCTGATCCGAAACTAGACTGGCGTGGTGCCTTGCCGTACGGGGGACGGGGCGGGATGGTGTGGAATGGGTGGGGTGAATGGATCGGGGATGGGTTGGGATGGGATGAGATGGGATGGGATGAGATGGGATGGGATGGGATGGAATAGAAGACGAGTGCAATGGATGGGGGTGGCTGGCGGGCTGCTGAGTTTGTCACGGTATTTGGAAACGCAATTTGGTCGCGCAGTTACGTGAATGCTGTCCTTGTTCAGAATACACCGATGGTCAATTGCCTCGTTTAAACTACTGTTGTCACACACAATACTAATAATAAAAGAACAGAACAGAAAACACAAGGTGAACCATCGGAAGGCAAGAATTAGTCTGGTTTCATTTCTGCACGGTGGGGGCTGAACAACAATGACGGAACAATCAAGGCCGCCATGGCTGCCATCAGGGACTTCAGAGCTCTCAATGTCGAGGCTCCGCTATGTTGCAAGCTCCAATAAGCACATCTTGATATTTGCCTTTCTACGGGGAACGCAAGGATACATTTTTTATGTCAAAACAGCTGACATTGGTTCCTTCTCCCTGAAAGCATCTACTCTCAAGGCTACGGGAGCTAACATCAATGGCTACTCCTAAGGCATTAACAAGGCTGGCGTTATCATAAGCGAGTCCTGAGGTCCATTGTTGTTACCCTGGCAACGTGTTCTACCAGGCTGCGCTGCTGTTAAGGCTGATCAGGCTCACTTCGTCAGCTATTTTAAGGCACTCAGTTTCGCTGGTTTCCCAGCATTACATTGGCTGTGGTGGTTATTTCATCATCACGTCATGCCTCTGAAAGGAAAGCCTGCTAAGCCCGCTGCCAGAATGGATCCAGTTGTTGCTGCTGTTCCCGCGGTACCCACGACTCCAGCTCCTGTGGTTACTCGTCCGGTTTCTTTAACTGCTGTCCCTCCGAAATCTACGCGTGCGCTCTTCGCTGAGGAAGAAGCGTCCGCGCTTACGCTCTCCGCCAAGCTTGCCGCGATCCGGATCGAGCAAGCTGCAGGAGGGGAGAAGGAAGCCGACAATGGCAAGAAGAAGGATGCGGTTTTTAAGGATGCGGTATCGAACGATCCAGGAGGCGACCCTGCTGACGAGGACGAAGGGGAAGCCTCAGGCTCTGGTCCGAGCTACGCCTTCCTGAACGACGATGACGATGGCCTGATCGCGCATGATCCCAACGAGGGTTTCGAGGACAAGGCGAAAGGGGAGCTTGCTGCAAAGTTGAAATTTCCGCTTACCTTGTTGGTTCATAACGAGCACATGCAGGAGTTACCATTCATGGAGGCGACGGTTAAGGGCCTGTTAGTGCTCTCGAAGCTTGATCTTACGGAGAATGCGGCTGTGACCACTGAATGCCAGGAGCTGACGCCAGCTTACCTCTCCAAGAAGCTATTCGGTCGCCTGCAAGTTACTTATGTTAATGCTGCTGACGCGAACTTTGTTTGGAGTCATGGTGTGGTGTTAAAATCTAAGTCAAGTTTGGCTTAGGAGCCATAGGTTTAGGTGCCTTGGTAGTTAAGTTCGAGGGTGTAAGGAAAATGTCGAGAGATTTTAGAAGGAGAGGATGGTTCGACTTGAAAGGAGGGGGATACAAGTAGTAAGCCCTAAAAGGGTTATACTCACTTTTGAGTACCCCACTACAGACTAGACATGCATTATAATCTGACACACCCCCATAGTCAAAGTGGGGTATAATCAGTACAGCATGCAGGCATAGAGCAAGAGTTCACAATAGGTAAGTAAGGCTAGAGCTAATCACAGAGGGCAAGTGAGGAGGAGGAGAGACTGTGGGGGAGAGAAGATGGGAGGCGACTGCTGACGCTGCAAACACACAGACGAGCTCCTGTCTCAGTGGCTACCGAAGCAAAGGCCCGAACTACAGGAGTAACTGGCTCCGCGGCTATAGACGAGCGGCAGGAGCAACTGACCCACAGGCGACTGGCGACTACCGAAGATTGTAGCCTCCGGACTGCTGCTACTGCTGACGACAAGACTGCTGCCTCCACTCAACCTCCCCCAGCTGCCCAACGCCCCTCTCACACACCCCCTGCTCAAAACCTAGCCCTACACCCACAGCACCCCCTTAAACCCTAAACCCCAGACTCCCACACATCCAGCCCCCTCAGCGATAGCTGCAGCAGTGGGAGACGAAGGAGGAGGAGGAGGAGGAGGAGGAGGAGGAGGAGGAGGAGGAGGAGGAGGAGGAGGAGGAGGAGGAGGGGACGGCACGCACAACCGACACCCCCACAACCATCACCCCCACACCTACCCCCCCACGGCTGCACCGGGTCCAGGAGCGGCTGCTGCAGGGGCCAGGGGCGGCTGCTGAAGCTGCGGCTGCTCCAGGGGCTGCTGCTGCTGGGGCGGCTGCTCCAGGGGCCGCTGGTGCTCGGGCGGCTGCTCCAGGGGCTGCTACTGGGGCGGCTACTCCAGCGGCGGCTGCTGCTGGGACGGCTGCTGCAGTGGCGGCGGCTCCAGGGGCTGCTGCTGCTGGGGCGGCTGCTCCAGAGGGTGCTGCCGCTGGGGCGGCTGCTCCAGGGGCTGCTGCTGCTGGGGCGGCTGCTCCAGGGGCTGCTGCTACTGGGGCGGCTGCTCCAGGGGCTGCTGCTGCTGGGGCGGCTGCTCCAGGGGCTGCTGCTGCTGGGGCGACTGCTGCAGTGGCGGCGGCTCCAGGGGCTGCTGCTGCTGCTGGGGCGGCTGCTCCAGGGGCTGCTGCTACTGGGGCGGCTGCTCCAGGGGCTGCTGCTGCTGGGGCGGCTGCTCCAGGGGCTGCTGCTGCTGGGGCGGCGGCTCCAAGGGCTGCTGCTGCTGGGGCGGCTGCTCTAGGGGCTGTTGCTGCAGCGGAAAGTAGGAGGGAGGGGAGGGGAAGGGCGCGGCCCCCAGGGTGCCCTGACGGGCGACGTGCTAGGGAGCCGCGCATGCCCCCGAAAGTGCCTCGACGGGCGACGGGAGGGGACCGCGCGCAGGCCCCTAAGGCGCCGCGACGAGGTAACGGGAGGGGCCGGCTCGCGGGCCCCGAAAGTGCCGCGACGAGGCGACGGAAGGGGCCTGCGCGCGGGCCCCCAAAACGCCGCGACGAGGCTACGGTCGGGGCCAGTGCGCGGGCCCCTAAGACGCCGTGACGAGGTAGGAACCCGCCGCGCGCCTCGGGGCGCACGACGGGCAGAAAACCGCCACGCGCTTGGAGCGCGTGGCGGAAAGAAAAATAGGATGTCGCGCGCCATGGGGCGCGCGACACACAGTAGGGCAGCGGAAGCAAGTGGGCCCACAGGCCAGGAGCGTTGAGCTCTGATACCATGTTAAAATCTAAGTCGAGTTTGGCTTAGGAGCCATAGGTTTAGTTGCCTTGGTAGTTAAGTTCGAGGGTGTAAGGAAAATGTCGAGAGATTTTAGAAGGAGAGGATGGTTCGACTAGAAAGGAGGGGGATACAAGTAGTAAGCCCTAAAAGGGTTATACTCACTTTTGAGTACCCCGCTACAGACTAGACATGCATTATAATCTGACATGTGGATCACCTCTGTAGGGACGGAAAGTATGTCACCTTTGACTGGCAGTACCCGGAGGACCCTGGCTACTCATGGCGGAAAATGCTTGATTCGAAGGTTATCGATCGGTGTTGCTGCGGAGATCTCTCCAGAGCTGCTCCATGAGGCGCTGGTTAAGTCCACCCTGAAGATCTGCCAGCGTCCGGACTTTAAGGAAGGCTTCTGCTTCCATCGTATTGTCAACCCTGTTTCCGGGATGGACACAGATCGAGTGAAGTGGTTGGTTGTGGCTTTTGAGAATGACAAGTTCCGCTGGAAGCATTTCTTCGAGAACCCGGTTGCACCCAGCACCAGGATCATGGTCCATTACCCGGCCTTGAAGTGCAGTCTTTGCGATGGTATGCACACTGTGCATAACCATTACGACTTCCTTACTACTCGGCAGAGCAACATCACCAAGTGGAACCTCACAGTGGGGAGGGTCCATGAGCTCAACGGTAGAGATGGAGTCTGCTGCTTACCTTTCCGCGCTGAATCTTTACTCTGTATTCTGTTGCCTGACGTCTGCGTGCCGATCTCCTGTGCGTGCAGCTGCTGCGACAGTAGCATCAGTCGCGACCAAGATTATCCTCAAGGATCCGACCTTGGTTCTTGCATCAACGGCGGGCAACCGAGAGGAATGGGTCTGCTTGCTGGAGTGCTGCGAGAAGGGAAAGGGCTCGTCCTTCGAGCAGGCGGCTCACCATGCCCTTTCGCAGCGGCACCGCGGGGGTCTGACAAAGCCGGGTGTGGCTACGCGCGCGCTCAAAGATAAGCTGAGCCTTCGGGTGCTGAAGAAGGAGTACGGGCTGTAGCATGTTATCCTGTGCAGGGGAGAAGAAGTTATAGTTCAGAATCACAATGCTGTTGTTCCTCTTTGTATGTATGCCTATATAGTGCTCACATGTGGTCTTTCAGATGCCGTGGATGCTATGGGGCTCCTGCGTGGTTGTTTAATGGATAAACCCTGCAACTTATCAGTGTGCGAGCTCAACGTGAATGGGCTCGGGAGCAGAGGGAAACATTAGAACTTGAAAACCTGGATCAGAAGAACTGCTGACATCTTTGTGCTGACAAATACGCGTATTGCACAAGATCATCGTTTTTGGAAGGACCTGAAGTTCCAAGATTGCCATGCTGCCGGGAACGTGGAAAGAGCAGGGGGGCTGGCTATTATGAGTAATAACGCCTAGCTCACCTTTGAGAATGTTAATGCGCACGCATCCGGCAGGCTGCTGAAGGCGGATGTCAGATGGGATACCTTCACCTTCACACTGTTGGCGGCTTATTTCCCGTCGAGTGCCTGCTGCCATCAAACCTTCTTCACGGATGTGCTAAAGCCCTTCTTGGATGATAACTTAGGGAATAGGGGCCGGTACCTGCTGGCTGGGGATCTTAACTTGGTTGAAGATCCGGTGCTTGATAAGTCCTCAGGCGCAGGATCATCGGGGGAGAATGACCGCCTGCTACGGATGTTCAGTAGTCTTCATATGGTGGATGCGTATCGCGCGCTGAACCTGGGCGGCCAGGAGCGCACCTTCTACTCCCGGGTGCAAAGAGCCAGCTCGCGGATTGATCGGATATTGGTGTCGGCGGAGCTGCTGCCGTCGGTTGCTGAGGCGTCTCACCCCCGGCCACTAAAGGGAATCTCAGACCACAAGTTCGGAGTCAAGGTGGTGCTGCAGGCGAGTCTGCGCCTTCACATGGGGCCTGGTCTGTGGAGCATGCCTACAGTTGACACATCAAAACCGGGGGCAGAGAGGGTGATTTAGGCGGTCACGGAACGCCACCAGGCGGGAGACTCCGGAAGTTTTGGTAACTTGCTAACCAAGCTCAAGCTGGCGCTGCGTAGATACACCACAAAGGAGCGGAAATGCATCCGCGCAACATTGCGTCACCTGGAGGAGGCGGTGACGATGCTGCAGCATAGAGTGATGCGTGATCCCGGAAATGATGATCTGCGGGCAGAGCTCATGGTGAAAGAGGCCCAACTGGAGGCCTACCTACGGGTTGAAATGACAGACTGCAGCTACTGGCAGGGGAGAGAGAGCTAGCAAAAGGGGAGATTGCATCGAAGGTCCTCTCGGCGAAAGTGAAGATCAAGAAGGCGAAGACCTCAATCTCAATGCTATCGTATCAGGGGATGGAGCATAGGGGGACGAGGGGGATTCTGGAGGCTGCCTCGGACTTCTATACCTCGCTGTTTGCGGAAGCGTTGCCCTCAGGGTTGTCGTGCTGGAAGCCTGAGCCTGGTAAAACGCTGACGGACGTGGAGGCTGCCTGCTTGGGGGAGCCCTGGACGGAAGAGGAAGTATTGAAAGCACTGAAAGATATGGCAAAGGACAAGGCCCCTGGGAGCGACGGGCTGCCGAAGGAGCTTTTTGAGCGCCACTAGGACCTTCTTATGAAATATTTTATGGGATTCATAAGGAATTTTGAGTCCATGGCATCTCTACCGGCGGAGGTGCAGGAAGCGGTAACGGTTCTGTTGCATAAGAAGGGTCCGAAAGAGCTCATACAAAACTACAGGCCGATCACTCTGCTTACCAGCTCTTGCAAGGTGGTGGCGAGGTTGATGGCCAACCGGATGAAGAAGGTCTTGGACAGGGTCATCTCTAAAGAACAGTGCGGCTTCCTTCCGGGCAGACGGTTGTCGGACGCTGTGTCGCAGGTAGCATGAGGAAATGAGAACGAGAATGAATGAACTATGAATGAAGTGGGTACAAGTACTAACCCTAATTGGGTTGTACCCCCTATGGGATACCCCACTACAGCCTACACAAAAGCATAAGATATAATGTTCTAACACACCCCCATAGGCAAAGTGGGGGAGAGCAAGGGGTCACAAGACCAGTCAAGCAAAGCAAAACAAAGCTCAGGGTGGATCACAAAGTCACCACACATTCCGAGCACAAGTTCAAGGCCACAAGGCCATTTCACATGCAGGAGTGCATGTATATATAAGGCTAGACAAGCAAGAGCAGGTATATATATATATATGTAACAGTACAAGTAAGGTCAAGAGGTAAGCAAGTGAGGCAAGACAGGGACAAGACCCATCTGAGTGCAGAAGCGCTGATGATCACAAGGCGGAAGTGCCTTGGTGAAAACATCAGCAGTGTTGGCCTCAGAGGCCACGTACGCAAGCCGCAACTGTCCACGCTGCTGTAGCTCACGAGCAAGGAAGTAGCGGAGAGCAATGTGCTTTGTTCTGTGCTCCTGTCGCTGCTCTCAACACAAGGCCAGCATGGCCTTGTTGTCTACGTACAGAACTGGAGGAGAACGAGGCGGCTCTCCGAGGTCCGTCAGCAGGTAGGTGAGCCAGCGAAGCTCCTGTGCAGCAATGGCCCCAGCGTAGATCTCAGCCTCACAACTGGAGCCGAGAACAGAAGACGAGCGAGTAGCCCGCCACGAGACAGAGCCGAAACCAAGGCTGAAGGTGTAACCCTGTGACGACCGCTGCGTAGCCTGGTCGTCAGCCCAAGAAGCGTCTGCATGCCCAGTGAGGACCACTGGACTGCGCCCTCCAAGCACTAGCCCCATGCCCAACGTACTGCACAAGTAGCGCAACACCCTCTTCGCTGCAGCCATGTGCTCTGGTCGGTGTCTCCCAGGAGCAACATAGCGTGCGAGAATGCTAAGAGGGTATGCAAGGTCAGGTCGTGTGCAGGTCATCAGGTACATGAGGCATCCAACAAGCTCTGGATACGGGCCACTCGACTCTACGGACTCATCCGAAGGCAGAGCTGAGAGCGAGTGGCGAGTAGGCAGAGGAGTGGCCTGAGGCGAGGAGTACGTGAAGCCGAAGCGCTGAAGGACCTGCTGCACCATGTGTGACTAAGTCAGGGTAATGGTGCGGCGTGCTCTGTCCCGGGTGATCTGCAAGCCAAGGTAGCTGCGCAGTTCACCCAGGTCTGTGCACGTGTGTCTCTTCTGCAGCTCGGACTTCACGTAGGCGAGTCCAGCATTGTCAGCTGTGGCAAAGACCAAGTTATCGACGTACACGAGGATGTAGAACGGCGGCAGAGAGATGTCGGTGCGCAGAAACAACGACGGGTCGGCAGTAGAAGGAGCAAACCCAAGAGCCGCAAGCATAGTCCTCAGTGTGTCGTGCCACTCACGTGGCGCCTGGCGGAGACCGTAGACTGGACGCCGGAGACTCCACTGGGTACCAGGAGGGAACGACCCAGTGAAGCCAGGTGGGCGGCGCAGCCAGATCTCCTCGTGCAGGCTGCCCTGCAAGAAAGCTGTGCTGAAGTCGAATGAGTGCAGCTCGTAGTCACGATGAGAAGCAACGTGCAGCAGTACCCGAAGAGTGGTCATCTTCGGGGTGGGAGAGAAGGTCTGAAAGTAGTCAACTCCCTGCCGCTGACTGAAGCCACGAGCCACGTACCGTGCCTTGAAGACAGGTGGAGAACCCGGCGGCCGCTTCACCCAAAAGATCCACATGCCACTGACGATGTTCGCCCCAGGCGGGGGAACCTCATCAACGTAGGTGCCTGTGGGCTTCCAGCAAGCCATCTCTGCATCCATAGCTGCCTGCCACTGAGAGGAGTAGGGACCCTCTATCGCCTCCGCGTAAGAGCGCGGAGTCGGGATGTCAAGTGCATCCGGGTCTCCCTCAAGGGTAAGCAGTACGGAGACGAGATGAGGTGAAGCAGCTGCCACACACTGGAACTCCTCCTGCCTGTCCTCAAGGACGTCCGTGCCAAGGGCACACTCACCCCCGACGGACGGAGGACAGACAGACTCAGACTCAGCGACAAGACTAGCAGCGTAGTCTAGGCGACAGCGAGCAGCAAAGTCGACGAGCTCAGCAACTAGGGCAGACGCAGCAGTGGACTCGAAAGAAGGGTTACTGACGACAGTAGCCAGGAGACGCGTGACAGTAGGACTGGCAGCACGAAGAGAGTCCGACTTCGGGTCGGCAAGAGCAAGAAGAGAGGACTCAGGAGGAGAAGGCAAAGGGGCACGCAGAGGAGCAGTGGACGGACGCAGAGACATCCTGTGCGTGCCAGGGATAGGAGGAGGACGCGGACGCGAACCACGACCACTAGCGCGAGCAGCACGGACAGGCGACGTAGGGCGAGTCGCAAGCTCACGACGCTCAGCAAGACCCCCAGTAGGACCAGCGTAGGGAGAAGGAGCAGGCAAAGGGGAGGTAGGCTGAAACTGTAACTGTGACGGGACAGGCTGTGGACACTCTAAGGGAGGAGGAGGACCAGTAGAAGGTGGAATACCAAGAACCTGGTGCAGGAGTGGAACGAAGTACGGTCGAGGCCGCGTGGCGATGCCAGAAACAGCAGGGACAGCACCAGTACCTCCAGCAGGAGCACCCGCTCCAGCAGCACCTCCAGCAGCTCCAGAACCTCGAGCAGCACCAGGAGCACCCCCAGCAGGACCGCGAGTGGTAGTCTCAGCGCCGACACCCTCAGCAGCACCAGCTCCAGTCGAACCTCCAGGCCCAGCAGCTCCAGTACTCCCAAGACGAGCACCTCCGGGACCCGCGACAGCAGCACCCTCAGTAGCCGACGAACCTCCAGCACCAGCAGCACGGCTCCAGCGCCGGGCAAACCACTCGCGCAGCTCCTGTGGAGAGAGTGGCTCACGGCGAGACGAAGCACCCGGAGAACCTCCAGGCGGAGCACCTCCAGGCTCAGCACCCCCAGGCCTAGCACCCCCACGCAAAGCACCCCCAGGCGTAGCACCCCCAGGCAAAGCACCCCCAGGCCCAGCACCCCCAGGCTGAGCACCCTCTGCAGCACTAGAGTCACCAGTGAGCTCGACAGGCTCCACTGCGTCTACCTGGGACACACCTGAAGGGGCAGGACCCTAAGGAGGGAGGGGGTCTACCTGGGGGGGACCTCGTACAAGGAAGAGCGGGGGCGGGGGGAGGGACGGAGTGCGGTAGGGGAAGAGGCGGTAGTAGGGGACCGACTCGTCAAACGTGGCGTCCTGGGAGGACAGAACACGGCAAGAGGTGGGGTGGTAGAAGTGCCATCCAGGCACGTCAGGGGGGAACCCTAGGAAGACGCAAGGAGCAGCACGAGGGGACAGCTTGTTCGCACACAAGTTGCGGACAAACGCCCGAGATCCCTAGACCCGGAACACTGACGCATCGCCAACCTTCCCCGTCCACAGCAAGGCTGGGGAGGTCTCCGTCCTGGAGACCCTGAGGTGAAGGTTGATCTGATGCGTCGCGTACCTCACCGCAAACGGCCACAGAAAATGGGGGGCAGCCGCATGCATCATAGACGTACGAGCGACGTCCATGACCATGCCAATGCGGCGCTCAGCGATCCCATTTTGCTGCGGAGAGTCCGGAAGCGTGAAGGTCTGACGGATGCCTCGTGCGCGACAGTAGGCTCTCAGAAGGCCAGAGGAAAACTCTCCGCCTCTGTCCGAGTGCAGACGTAGAACAGGAAAGTCCGAGCCAAAGCTCTGCCTGAGCTGGAGACGAGCTGCGTGGATCCAGTCGATCAGCACCTCAGTGACATCACCCTTGCTGCGCAAGGGGAAGACCGAGGTGTAACGCGAGTAGTCGTCAACAACGAGCATGAAGTAGCGCTCGTGACCCTGTCCACGGACGCGGGCTGGGCCCCACACGTCCATGTGAAGCGTCTGCAGCGGGGCCTCTGTCAGAGGAAACTGGGAGGAGTGAGGGGCAGCCCGCTGGCGCCCCTCGACACAGGGGACACAGGCAGGGCCAGGGCCCTAAGGAAGGGGAGGGAGGGACCGGGGGAGACCTGAAACAAGAAGACGGGAGGCCATG